GCAACAAAGCCCACATGGAAGAAGCACACCAGCTTGTGTGACCATGAGGTATGGGAGGGCTCAGGTATTAAGGCATCAAAGAACAAAAAATCTTATCATTGTGAATGAGGGGGAGTGCGGAGTGGGGACCCAAAGCCCATCTGTAGGCAACTGGAAATCCCCTTACAGAAGGGTGGCAGGGAGATGAGCCAGTCAGGGTGCAGTATAGCAATGATGAAACATACAACTTTCTTCTAGTTCTTTAATGCTTCCTCCCCCAACTATCATGATCCCAATTCTACCTTACAAATCCAGCTAGACCAGAGGATGTACACTGGTACAGATAAGAACTGGTAACACAAGGAATCCCGGACAGATGAACCCCTCAGGACCAGTGGCTGAGAGTGGTGATACTGGGAGAGTAGAGGGAAAGTGGGGTGCAAAGGGAGAACAGATTAAAAGGATCTACATATAACCCCCTCCCTGGGGGACTGACAACAGAAAAGGGGGGAAGGGAGTCATTGGACAGTATAAGACATGACAAAATAACAATAATTTATAAATTATCAAGGGTTCATGTGGGAGGGGCGGGGAGAGAGGGGAAAATGTGGAGGCGATACCAAAGGCTCAAGTAGAAAGCAAATGTTTTGAGAATGATGATGGCAACAAATGTACAAATGTGCTTGATGGGTGTATGCATGGATTGTGATAAGAATTTTACAAGCCCCCAGTAAAGTGATTTAAAAAAATGTGCTGAAAAACTAGGCTTATACATAAGTATAAACCGTAATTCAATACACAAATAAATGAGGGAGAAAGATCAATTCTTCCTTACAGAAGACTCCTAATTAGTAAATGTAGAAGAGGGGGAAGTACAAAGTCACCATTAGAACACCAGAAGGCTATCAGGATAAAAATGGAAATGTTCATTTTAGACAGTTCACTAATTAGTGCTAAAAATTACTAGATAAAACTTAATAGAGAAATAGGACATTTGCATACTCTCAGTATTTAATCTAGGATATTTATTAATTACAAAGGAAAAAAGAGTAACTTCACTGTAGATAGATACAGATCTCACTTTAATAAAATGATCAAGGTTTTACAAACCACCACTAATAAACTGTAGATATCACTAATACCAATATAATGCTGTGAAAGGGTACATCTTCTCACATGCCAAGAGTGCATACTGTTAATAATTTTGCTATGAATAAATATATTTCTTTTCAGGAAAAAATCTCAATGCCATTGAGTCGAGTCTGACCTATAGTGATACGACTGGACAAGGTAAAATTATCCCTGTGGGTTTCCTACACTACAACACTTTCCTTTCTCCCATGGAGTGACTTCTGGTGATTTCAAACTGCTGACCTTCAGAAACTAATAAATAGTAAGAAACCCCATCAATCAGGATATACTGTGTTTGGTGAAATATGCCATTATGTAGAAAAAGTATGAATAATCAATAAGGTCATATAGTACCTAGAAAGATAGCCTCATGTGAATAAAAATTAAATAAAGGGGTAGGAGGCTAGTAAAATTAAAAAATGATAGCTGTATTTACTGATGCTTAATACACAGGAGTTAATGATAATAGAAAATATTTATAGCAATACATTTTAATTTAATACTATTTTAATTAATTATATTTATCTAATAATATATTACGTAGTAAGTCTATTTAATACTTATTCAGTAATGAGGGCAAATGTTATTATATATTTTTATTCATTTAAACCTAACAACAATGAAGGAGGTGCAGTACATGTCTATTTTGCAGATGAGGAAATGACAGCATAATATCTTCTAGAAAATACCAGCTTCGCTACTAGTGAGTGTCAGATACTATGCTGAAAATGTATTTTAATCTTCATAATATTCATGTCCAGCACGTTTTATCTGTTTTATAAATGAAAAAACTAAGGCTCTGCTGAACTGTACAACATAGTGTAAGATCCATCCATGCCTACCCTGTCATGTCACTTCTTCCATAGTCATAGTGATTTGCAAAAGTGCTCCCACAAACATTTCAAAATGCTCCTAGGGGAGGAGTACTCCTCAAAATGCTGGATGAGAAAGGTAGAAATATGCAAAGCGTGGACGTGAATGAATCCCAAAGTGGTCTCTATGAATCCCAAAGTGATCTTATTTCCAGTACCAGATAATGACTTGTGAAGGAGTTGAGATTAAACTCAAGAAACAAAGACAGAATCCATTTTCACAAAGCATATGAGACACTCAAGTGGCAAATAACTAAGCAGTAGTTCGAACATAAAGTATAATAACAACTATTGTTTGAACGGAGTAAAGCATGAAAGCATTAATTAATTTGTAGTTTGTATAAACTTTTTATTTTAATTGAGGGAACCTGGATTCAACTCAGAAATTCTGAGTGAGAATTGGCATCATTAAGACATTAATATCCTTAGAAGTCTAAACCAGACAGTCTTGGAGAAGTGAGGCTCACAAGACCTCTTGGAAGAATTTCAAAGATTGCTATTCTTTTTGGTTTCATCATTCTAGTTTTTTACAAATTTATATAGGTTGACTTCCCATGTAATATGATATAGTCTATCATAACCTCTACAGTTTACAGGTACATATTAATCTATACTACGCTAATGACTATTATAGAAATTGAGAACTTTGGGCAGAAATATTTTTAAAGCAGCAGTAGTACAACGACACAGGTCAGAAATTATAGCAAAAAAAGATTCAAACATGCATAAACATCTCCATTTCCTCAAGAAAATGAAATAGCTTAAAAGATAATAGTCAGAAGAAACCACTCACTTGTGAAGAATTTTAACATTATAAACAAATATTTAAACATAATACAGTAGCAGAAATCTATAATCGTTATTTTGGTATTTTAGTAAAATCTCTACACTTTAACATATACATTTAGTAGCACACACACAAGAATATGGCACACAGAAATCTAGTAATCAAAGTTACCTTTGCGATAATAACTTCTTTCTTGAGAATTTTCATAGCATAGTATTTCCCACTTGCCTTCTCTCGAACCAAAATGACTTTCCCAAAAGTGCCTTTACCTAACAGTTTCAAATAGTCAAAATCATTCATAGTCTGAAAAATATAATGAAACAATGTAATATGAAATTTAAGCAATCTATTTTCAAAGATTATGTACATTTTCAATAGTCACTAAAAAACAAATTTTACCAATTCTTAAAAACTCTTAAACGATCATAGATGTTAAAACTAAGAGTTTTCAAATGTCAGCAAAAAAACTGTTTTGAATTTTAAATTTGTGTTAGCCATTCAAATGATCAAATATTAGCGGAAAAGAGAAATAACAATTTATAAGAATTCAAGTTTACAACAATTTAGTAGTGTCCCTCCCTCCTTTTAGGGAATACAATAAAAAATGTCCCCATAAACATTTCCAAATATGCCTAAGGGAGAAATGCTTTTGGAAGGAGCTAGTTAAGAGTGTACCCCAGAAGGACAAAGAAGGAATCCAAGACAGAAAAGCTAAGAAATTAAAAAATAAGAAATGTTGAAAGTAATCTTGGAGTCTAGTGAAAAATACAAGGAAGACAGCAGAACAATTTTTGTGGTAGCAATTCATACAATTCAGAACAGAAAGAGAGCACTAAGAAAAATATCTTTTAATCATCCTTCTCACTTTCAGTTTCATTCCCATTTGTAAGGTGATTCCCAAGATCTTACCAGTCCTGCTGGCGCGCGTGCGTGTGTGTGTGTGTGTGTGTGTGTGTGTGTGTGTGTGTGTGTGAGAGAGAGAGAGAGAGAGAGAGAGAGGTGCTTTTCCTGCTCTGCTGACTCCCTTCTCTACAACCCACTCTGTGTTTGTGTGGTGCATCACTCTTCCACACATTCATGTCATTCCCTACCCAGATTATCATTTTTTAAATAATATTTCCTTTTCAAAATCCCTTAAATGTAATTTTTTCTGGTCCTTTGGAAGGAAGGGAATGTAAATATGTGTGTTCAACTGCCATATTAAGTTTAAAGTCCACTTAGTGGTTTATAAGTAATAATATTAAAGAACCAGTGTTTTATAATACAGAAAACCACAAGCCATAGATATTTTTGTGACTTTTTATAACTATTTTTTTCCAGTGTATCATCCATTTGAAAGTAATTTCAATGATTTTATTACCATCTGCCACAGAGAAAGATGAGTAAATTTAATCCGAAAGAAAGAAAGAAAGAAAGAAAGAAAGAAAGAAAGAAAGGAAGAAAGAAAGAAAGAAAGAAAATACTAGATGAGCGGTGATATCAAGACAATTTAAAGGGAAAAAAAGAAAATTAATGAGAATAAAAGCTGGTCCTTTAAGATCAATAATGTTCATAAACCTCTAGCCAGATTAATCAAGGAGGCAAGACATAAAACATAAATCCTTAATATCAGGAATGAGACAGAGAGCACTTTGCACACAAGCAGTTCTGGTGGTGTTGAGAGATAAGTATCTAACTACGCTTGGCAGTTCAAAACACTAGTCACACCACAGGAGAAAGGAAGGCTGACTGCTTTGTAAAGATTGATAGTCTCAGAAAGCTAAGTATGGGTCATAGTTGACTCAACGGTAGTGGGATGGGTAGTGTGTGTGTTTGTGTGTGTGTGTGTTTTAGGGGGTTATGCAAAATAAAAGCCACATCATTGATGAAATGAACAAAATCCTTGAAAGTCTCAATCCGAAACCTCAGTCAAGAAGAAATAAATGACCTGAATAGTCCTTTATCTAAGAAAATTGAATCTGTAATAATAATTAAAAAAACTTTCAACAAAGGAAACTTCAGGCCCAGACTGTTTCACTGGCAAATATTATAAACATTTATGAACAAAATTATACCAATTCTATATATACTCCTGCAGAAAATTAAAAGGGGATACTGCCCAATTCACTCTTGGGAGGGCAAACACATTACCAAAAAGAAAACTACAGGCCATATCCCTCCTGAGCAGATGTAAAAAGTATCAATATTAAGACATGAATGCTTACACTCATTTTCAACACAACTTCCCATTGTTGTTAGGTGCTGTCCAGATGGTGACAACTCACAGCAACCCTGTATACTTCACAAACAGAGCTATTACCCAGTCCAGGGCCATCCTCCCAGTCCTTGCTGTGTGTGTGTCATTGTTGTAGCTAGCCACTGGGTAAGTACAGCTTGTTGAAGGTCTTCTTTTGCTCCAGAAAGCCTCACTGCCATCCAGTCGATTCTAACCTAGTGATCTTGTAGGACAGAGCAGAACTGCCCGTGTGGGCTTCTGGGACTGTAAATCTGTATGGGAGAAGGCCTCCTTTTCCTCCTGAGGAGTGGCTGGTAGTTTGGAACTGCTGACACGTAGAGCACAACACATAACCCACAATGCTACCAGGGCTCCTTAGGTCCCTCCTGATAACAGGTCCAAAATATGTGAGGAAAAGTCTCACAATCCACCTTTCTAACGACTATTATGGCTATACTTTACCCACAACAGAATTGTTTCTTCTTCTGGAAGTCCATGGTCTATTTAAGAGTCTTCAGTAACACCATAGTTCAAAGGAATCAATACTATAATTTTCCTTGTTCATTGTCCTATTTTAACATGAATATGAGGCCACTGATATGCCGTAACTTGGAGCAAGTGCACCTAAGTTCACAGTGATATCTTTTGCTTTTTTACACTTTTAAGAGGCTTTTTGCAGTTTTGCCCAATGAAATATATCATTTGATTTCTTGACTGCTACTTTCATGAAGGCTGATTGTGGAGCACGGTAAAATGAAATTCCTGACAACTTCAATGGTTTTTCCATTTATCATGATGTTGCTTACTGATCCAGTTATGAGAATTTTTGTTTTCTTTATAGTAATATAACCAATATTGAAATATATAGTCTTTGAACTTCATCAGTGTTTCAAGTCCTCTTCCCTTCAGCAAGCAAGGTTGTGTCTTTTGCAAACTGTAGATTGTTAATGAGTCTTCCTCTTTAATGCTACATTCTTCACCATATAGTTCAGCTTCTCAGATTATTTGCTCAGCATACATACTGAGTATTTAGACTCTCACTACCATCTTGCCAATCCCAACTCACAGTGACCCAAAGGAAACTGTGAGTTTGGAAACTGTGAGTTTCCAAAACGATAACTCTTTGCAGGAGTAGAAAACCTCATCGTTCTACAGCAAAGCTGCTGGTTTGAAACTGTTGACCTTGGGGTTAGCAGCTCAACACATAACCACTACATCACTAGAGCTCTGACATACTGAAAAGTAAGGTGAAACAATACATACATTTCCTGATTTTAAATAGCAAGATGCTTCCTATTCTGTTCTAATGACTGCCTCTTGGTCTATGTACAGGTTCTGAATAAGTACAATTAAGAGTCTTAGGATCCCCAAATGTTCCTGATGTTATCAATAACTTGCTATGATCCATGAAATTGATCATCCTATAAAAAATCTTTTTGGAATTCTTTGCTTTCAGCCAAGATCCATCTGATATCATCACTGATATATGTATCTTCTTCCCTGTGCTCTCCTGAAAACTTGAAATTCCCTGTCAATGCTACTGCAACTGTTAACTGAATTTTCATCAGCAAAATTTTCCTTATGTGATATTAATGATATTGTTCAATAATTTCTGCATTATACTAGATCACCTTTATTTGGGGTGGGCATGGATATGGATCCTTTGGCCAGGTAACTGTCTTCCAAATTCCTTGTCATAGACAACTGCATGCCCCCAGGTGAAACATCTCAATTGGTATTCCATCAATGCCTGCAGCCTTCCTTTTGCTAATGCCTACAGTACATCTTAGATTTTCCCCTTCAATAACACCAGTTATCCACCATTTGTTGCTAATGGGTGAACGCCAACCATTTTTAGCAGGAACAGTGACTACGTAATATTCTATCTTTTGATGCTGCCTATGTCTTTCAATATTTACCTGTAGAATTCTTTAATACTGCAAATCAATGTTAGCATTTTTTCCTTCAGTTCTTCCAGCTTGAGAACTGTTGAGGGTGTTTTTCCCTTTTGGTTTTCTAATGCTAAGTCTTCGCACATTTCATTATAATGCAAGAGGACTTCAAAAAGTTTGTGGGAAAATTCCATTACCTTCGAATTCCCTTTTTCCATGAACTTTTTAAAGGTCCCTTGTACTTTGTCTTCTCAAGTTGCCCTTGAAATGTTTTGTTTAGCTCTTTATGTTGTGATTTCTCCCTTTCACCTTAGGTCTTCTGCAATCACGTTAAAGTTTCAGAGTCTCTTCTGACATCCACGCTGGTCTAGTTATTAATATTCAATGTATCAAATCTATTCTTATAATCATGTTGTACATTGGCACTCATGAAACTGTTGTAATTCTCTTGAGCATCAACTTGAACTTGCATATGAGAATTGATGGGCTGTGTCAGAATCAGCTCCTGGTCTTATTTTGATTGAGGATATTGAGCTTCTTTATTCACTGCCTCTTTCCACAGATAATTTGGATCCTGTATATTTTGGAGGATACGTGTACAGTCACTATTTATGCTGTTAAAGAAGGTATTTGCAATGAATAAAGTCATTGGTCTTAAAAATTTCCATCATATCATCGCCAATGTTATTTCTATCACCTATATCCTAGTTTTCTTTCCTCTTTTTTTGATAAACAATCGCTTCATATTTTAATTCTAAGCATTTATATAATTTAATTCTTTTAAAAAATCATTTTATTAGGGGCTCGTACATCTCTTATCACAATCCATACAAACATCCATTGTGTGTCAAGCACATTTGTACATTTGTTGCCCTCATCATTCTCAAAATATTTGCTTTCTACTTGAGCCCTTGGTATCAGCTCCTCAACCTATGTCCTAGTTTTCCATGACTGGCTTTTTTTCTAACTGAATCACCAGTAATTATGAATGCATCTTGATTGCGTGTTTGATTAATTTCAGACTGCAGAACTTGGTAAAAACTTGATCAAAATTTTTTTCAACTTTGTCAGTGGTTGGTGCATGAATCTGAACAAGACTGTTATTAACTGGCTTTTTTTCTAGCATATTGATTGATGATCAACGTGAGGCCATTCTCTTTTAATTTGTCATTCCTAGTATATATATGACAGTCTGC